TTGTTTCTCTCACACAGTTCCAATATCAACCTAACAGAGACTCTGCGAAAGCAAAAAAATTCTCAACCAACTCTCTCCTAAATCTTCTCCTTTCCGCATCCTATACAAATATATATAAACACCCTCCTCCTCTTTTCAGTTCCAATAAACCATTGATCTCTCAAAATAGTCACAAACACATATGGAGACCCTTCCTCTTGCCATCACTCTCGCAGCTGCTCTCTCTGCCTATGTCCTCTGGTTCTACCTTGTGTTGGCTCGAAGCTTAACAGGTCCCAAGGCCTGGCCTTTGTGGGAAGCCTCCCTCTTCTTCTCAAGAACCGAAGCCGAGTCCACGACTGGATCGCCGGTAACCTTCGAGCCACCGGAGGTTCTGCCACCTACCAGACTTGCATTATTCCTATTCCTTTCTTGGCTCACAGACAAGGGTTCTATACAGTAACTTGTCATCCCAAGAACATCGAGCATATCCTCAAAACCCGATTCAGTAACTATCCCAAAGGACCCAAATGGCAAACCGCTTTCCATGATCTTCTGGGCCAAGGTATTATATTGCTGATGTTTCATGACATGAGCTTCAAATATATTATGGAATAGAAATAAGTCTATCAATGGTGGCCTCACATATGGAAAGGTTATCAATGCAATAGAAAAGAGTAAAAGCTCATCTTTCCCGTACATTTAATCTGTGTAAATGACGTGTGTTTTCGTATCCATTATGAATGTACTATAGATATCTCTATGTGTTTTTTCAGGTATATTCAATAGTGACGGAGAGACATGGCTCATGCAACGTAAAACGGCAGCTCTAGAGTTCACGACCCGAACCCTAAGGCAAGCCATGGCTCGCTGGGTGAACCGGACCATCAAGAACAGGCTATGGTGTATTCTAGACAAGGCAACGAAGGAGAAGATATCAGTGGACTTACAAGACCTTCTGCTTCGCTTGACCTTCGATAACATTTGTGGATTAACCTTTGGCAAAGATCCTGAAACTCTCTCTCCAGAATTACCGGAAAACCCGTTTGCCGTGGCTTTTGATACTGCCACGGAGGCAACCATGCGCAGAATCCTATACCCGGCTCTCCGATGGAGGATACAGAAACTTCTAGATATCGGAGATGAGAGGAGACTGAAAGAGAGCTTACAAATCGTGGAAAGTTACATGAACGACGCCGTCTTGGCTCGCAAGGAAGCTCCATCCGATGATCTGCTCTCGAGGTTCATGAAGAAGCTCGACGCCAATGGAAACCCCATTCCGACTCCAGTACTCCAGCGAATTGCTCTGAATTTCGTACTCGCCGGAAGGGACACGTCCTCAGTGGCTCTCAGCTGGTTCTTCTGGCTCATCATGAACCATCCTCGCGTAGAAGACAAGATCATTGACGAGATCTCCAAGGTGCTACGGGAGACTCGCGGGGTAGATCATCGGAAATGGACCGAGGAGGCCCTGGACTTCGACGAAGCGGACCGGTTGGTTTATCTGAAGGCTGCACTGGCTGAGACGCTCCGTCTGTACCCGTCAGTGCCGCAGGACCTAAAGTACGCCATCGCCGACGACGTGCTGCCTGACGGAACGTTCGTGCCAGCAGGATCGACGGTGACGTATTCAATATACTCGGTGGGGAGGATGAAGGAGATTTGGGGGGACGATTGCATGGAGTTCAAACCAGAGAGGTGGCTGTCAGTTGAGGGAGACCGGTTCGAACAGCCCAAGGATGGGTTTAAGTTCGTTGCCTTTAACGCCGGACCGAGAACCTGCTTAGGAAAAGATCTGGCTTACCTGCAAATGAAGTCAGTGGCGGCGGCGGTACTGTTGCGTTACCGGCTAGCTCCAGTTCCCGATCACCGAGTGGAGCAGAAGATATCACTCACTCTGTTCATGAAGAATGGGCTCCATGTGTTCTTGCATCCACGTAAGCTCCAAGGAGCAGCCTAGGCGCGGGGTATTTCTCGTTATTGCCAAGAACGACATGGAAACAGAATACAGGGGTAATATTGTCATTTAGTAATATACATTAATACATATGAGGGTGTATATGTGAATTACTGTTCCTAATTATTGTTTTTTCATAAATTTATTAAATTAGTAACGAGTCTGTCGGGACGGGGTGGGTACAATGTGAGTGTCAGTCGATCAACTAAATTGGAAAGGCGGTGTACTTGTTTACGTTGCTCCATATCCCAAGATGTGGGTTTTCATATTCTTATCGTTTGTCAATTAATAAATATTATATGAAGAAGTTACACCTTTTCTCTTGAGTTCATTATTCACATGTTGCTTTCCGTTCTGGTTATTCTAGTGATCTACAAGCCACTAACTCCCTTCAGATGCCTTGATGGAAAATTTCCCCTTGAAATTTCCAAATTATTACATCCAGTCTTGATTATAAGAGCTAATTGATTAATTCGAAGAGGTTAAGAAAATAAATTAAGTTAGTTATTTGTAATAAATAAGTGTTGTCTTTCTTAAAATATCTTTATTAATCAAGTTTATTGGTTAAAACTACTATTATTAGAGGGACTATCTTGAAAAAAAATACACAAATATAAAAGACAAAGTGGATCGGAATCTTACAATTAGAAATAAAATAAAAGTCAAATAAGATCTTATATTAAGAACCAGAGGTAGTACTTATATTACATCCAATCCTAATTATAAGATCTCACTGATAAAAACTACAAATAAGATCTTATGTTTAAGAGGATATTTAGATATAAACAAAACCATAATTTTAAAAATATTTTTATAATATACAAAATAAATATGTAGATAAATTCACCCCAACTTATAAAAAAATATTTTTGAAAAACACTTTTTAAGTAATCCAAACACTCAAGTAGTAATTTTTTTTTTCCCGCTTTAATCCAATTAAACGCAACCACGTCAACGCTGGGCTTGTACCATACAAGAATGACATGTTACTGCGCCACTCAGGCAACTTGCATTTTTGTAAATTTGATGACAAACACAAACCATAAAACATTATCCACAGTAACCTGTCAACATTTTTCCCCTTTGGGACCAAAGCGTTTAATTACGCAAGTAAATGCTATGAGCAGGTGACCATTTCAAAAGAAAAAGGACCATTATCATAACACAACAGAGTCCGCAACAGTAATGTCACCAACTAATTTGACCAAAGAAAGAAGACAGACAGATAGGACATGAAAGAGGAGGCGGGAGAAGCTTGATGAATAATATTACATCATAGAGTAGTTTGCCACTTCGTCGCAAAAATTGATTTTGTTTCGTTGAATATTATATTTACATGTGTGTTGTTAACTCACCCAACTAACACAATCTTCCCACATAAAAAGGGAAGAACAATAGAGGAAGAAGAAAATAGTTCTATAGTCTAAAGTCTGTTCCCTGGTGGAACATCAGGGCTTATACTTCAAATGATGCCAATTCATCTCCCAAGAGCAAAAGAGAGCCTTCACTTTCTAATTCACCTTGGTACGTAAATATGCTGGCTTTCCAAATACTTGTAAACTAAAAAAGTTGAGCATGAAATGTGCCCAAAAAAAAAAAAACCAAAAATATCGATGTCCTTATATTATTGTTTAAAAAAAAAAATTCAAACGTGTGATCCTCAAATATCTTATAAGTTTTCAAGTGCTTGGAAAATTAAACTAACCGCTTTCCAAAAATTACCTCAACGCGCGATTTGTCAGGCATGAATTCTCAGTAAGACAGGTTGCTTCCACTTCAACCATTTTATACTTGTAGTTGTTTCATTCCTCGCTTGCGTGGGAATTTAGTTTTTATCTCATCCACAGTTATCATGTAGCAATATCTGTCTGACACTTCAAGTTAATCCAAGATCTTTTCACCAGTTGAGAAAAGGTTCCACACCACAGTTCCAACCAAGTACAGCACAACTGACACCTTGAATACATCGGCCCAAGAACCTGATAATAGTTCAAGATGATAAAGATAAATGTATATTCTTTCGAGGAAAAAACACATCTACGTAAAAAAGTTCAAAAATATAGTACTAATCCATCATAATTCAAGACCATGAGCTTTTGCACCAAAGTATCACAGCATCAAAATGGTCGGATTTCTTCAGTAGCTTAGGATTAGATGGTATGAAGTACTAGTACTTACCACGCTGGAGAATAAATCCTGTAGCAGCTGTTCCCAAAACACCAGCCAGTACTCCAGCAGTATTAGATAGACCAAGCAATATGCCCTGACAAGGAAAGTAGGAAATTTAATCAAAATCTTATCCTTCTCTTTCTAAAACAACATAATCGTGTAACCAGTTAATGGAAGGATGCCGAACATAGAGGGACATACATTAGCACGCACAAAAAGGTAAGTTTGTGCCACTCGTTCCCCAGATCAAACATAAATTACATGCTGCAGAAATAATTAGGCACAATAAATCTACTTACTGAATATCGCGGGGCTATATCTTGATGGTTGGAATACAAACCGGACTGAGAGAATGCATCAGTTGCCTATTTAGAGAGAATAGGAATCAAATTAGTAATGTTGAATCTCAAAGGTTGAACAGTTAAAGCAATCCTATTCAGTTCAGCTAAGGTTTAATTTCACAGCATTTTTGACAAAATAATATAAAATGGGAAAGAAAAGTAAATAAATCATTAAACTTCCTTAAAAAGTTCTCAAACCTAATTGCAAAAAAATTTAACTTTCCAAAGCTGCCATATTTGCATTGCCACGCATTATGAACTAGAAACCAAGATAAAATTCCTTGATTGGCACTTATATGTGAGATATTCAGATGAGAAGAACTTTCTATCTAGAGAAATTGGAAGATTCACACAGAAAAATAGAAGATTAAAAATCGATGTTATTCAGAGATTTCCAAAACCAAAGAAGGCAAAAAGTAAATATCATAACAAATCAAGATGCAAACCTGACTGCATGTCATACACAAAACAGCCATTGCAGGAGAAGTTATCCGGCTCAGCTGAGTTAAGAAGAAAGCAGGGCCAAGAAATCCAATTGTTTGCATTATCTACCAAAAATAAAAAGTATACTGTCAGAACTTTGTAGTTTGTAGAACTTAATTCATATAGAGCACAGGAAAAAAAAAAAAAACTACAGAAAAAGGAGAAAAAGAGGACAGAACCAAAAGATTTTATAAAAATCTCAATCTCTTGACTGATGAATATGTTGCATGTTGAAAAAATGACTTAAGACTGACAGGCAAAGAGATAGATGTTCAGTTTTTTTTCTCCTTGAAAAAAAAAAAAATAACGTGATATTTGAATTGAGAATAGGATACAGGTCCAAAACTCTCCAGGCACAGTGAAACCAGGAGGGAATATATCGATAATATTATGTTCTCAAGAGGAAGTGACCAGAAAAATAAGAACAAGATGAAATTGATACCTTGCGAACCCTTGTAACTGATAAACCCTTGCTTACGAGAGTGTCTGCAATCCATCCACCAAGATTTGCAGCAAGTGCCATTGTAAGCCACGGTAAAACACAAAATAGACCAGATTCTGTAAGATTGAACTTCAGGACCTATTATGACAGAGACAAATACCCTTTCGATTAAATTAAATGTTAACATTTGTTTTACCAAGTTACCAAGAACATCACCATCAAGATATGTTACATTATGATAGTCAGCTAAAATCCATAAAATAATTAAAGAGCAGAGAATTGAGGCTTGGCAAGACGTAAGGTTACTAGAAAGACTTACTTGGTTGTAGTATGTTGGCATCCAGGTAAGAAGAATAAATGTTCCCCAGTTGTGACAGAAATGAGACACTATTAGAGCCCAAACAGGTGCTTTTGACAAAATTAATCTCCAAGGTATAGTTTTCACAGGTTTCTTGGAAAAGCCGTTTGTGACAATTAACTTCTTTTCTTCAGTCGGCAGGTCAGGATCATCAAGAGGTGAACTGTGTGCCTACAGCAGCAGCTCCCAAATGAACAGGAAAGATATGCAGAGCAAAAAAAAATGCTAATAGGATTGGGCTTAAAAAAAAAAAATAAATAAAGCAGATAGATAGCAGTGAGGTAGAAGAAATTGAGTGATAAAAGAATTCCTAAGAATACATGCATATGGATATTTCAAATTCAAAAAGGACAAACCGATGAAAGTAAATAACTTAGCATGGTGAATCTTACCTTACTAAGCCAAACAGAGAACCAGATCGCGCCTAATGAACCAAAGGAGTAAAATACTGACGGCCATCCAAACTGATGAATTAGCATGGGTGAAAAGGCTAGTCCAGTGACTGATCCAAGGTACATGCCACTGTATACCAGTGATAATGATCTACTTCTCTCCTACAGGAATCCATTTTGACATGATATTATTCATGGCCGGCATAGCTACACCCTGAAACAAGCAAAAGAAGTAAGCCACATGCGCATAAATCAAATCACTGCTAGAACCATGGACACCATAAATTACAACGATGAAACATTTCTTTCTTAATTAAGAAAAAATATATGGCGGAACTTTGCTGTTTGAAGCTTTTCCTACAAGTAGAATGCGAAGCAAACTCTCTACAATCTCATCAACAATACCCACCTCACCAATACCCATGAATGCCCGGACAACGAGTAGAAAGGGTAACCCAAGTTTTGCAGCAACAGGAGTTAGGCGGTGGCAATAGACCACCAAACTACGCCAAATCCCAATACTGGCTTCCCCCATTGTGTCTGCCCATATTCCACCAGCAATCTGCAACCAATGTCTATGATTCAGAGTCATGAACTTTTAAGTTCATATTCGTATATACACAAGTAAGAAAAAAAACTAATTAAACTTAAGTCCATCAACATTAACTTTTACCTGAGTAAGCATGTATCCCCAGAAAAAAGAAGACTGTATTAAGCCAACAGTGGCGGTGTTCCATTTGTACTCAGCTGCCATTGGAAGTATGGCAATGCTCATGTTCACCTGAAAGTGTGAAACAGAGCGATTTATTAAGAGTATGAACAAACTGAAAAATTGAGGCCTTCCAATGGCATGCAAGGAAGGGGCTATGCGACTACTGGATCAAGCCTTGAATAATGAAAATTTTTATTTTTCCCTTCTACGTGATAAAATAGTCGCCTGTAGGTATCAGCAATTGAGATCAAGTTTTTCAAACCTACGCATTCGCTTTATCTTT